GTTTCAAATTCAGTGTCCTCTCAACAAGAAATCATGCACTTCTTCTTCTGTTCATTTAAATCTAAATTTTCCATTAAAGGAATGTAGCTAGCTGAACAAAACAATGAATTCTTTCCCTCAAAATAAAAACTTAGGGATGGATGAAATTAAGTGAAAACCGAAACAGAGTGAAAGCAAAATGTTTTCACTTGATAGACAAACTATTTCCAAACTAATAAGCTAACTCCAGGATTCCGTAAGATGTTGAAAACCTAATTAGCAGCCGCTTAATTAACCATCTACTCACACACATCGCAACAAACGAGATAACCTCATTTCGCTGTTCCAGTAATGTCTAACGTTATCACCGTTGCCTAATTCTCTCCCATTCAATGATATTTTCAGTGCGGGATAATGGTGAGCAATAATGTCAGACCTACCGGAGTAGTGGACCGAGGTTTCCATTTAGAATTTGAAAGGTGAGCCAGGGAGCGGTAACGGGGTGAGGGGATTGTGAGTGTTGTACGTGTGCGTTTACGTGTGCATGTGTGCTTATTAGTCGTTCTCGATGTTGTACTTGTGGTAAGTATGTGCAGTTTACAGTGCTGCGGTTTTCCTGAAAGATATGTACCATCTGTAATCTATTTGAAATGAGTATCGGGTTTGTAACGGCTTCGGGGAAAGACATAACGGTAAGCGAAAAGGCACTTCAGAAAGCACGTCACCTATTCGAACTCCTTGACGACGACGATGACAATAACGATTCGATTCGTGCCACTATTGGAAACAGTGGCAATGCTCGTTGTAGCAGTGTGGAAAATAGGTAAAAAGTATAGACAGTTGTAGTGTAGATTAACTTCAGAAATGTGATACAATGGCTGATGTCACTGTCTCACAGCAAATGTAAAGATACCCATAGTCTCGTTCTATTTATCTTCATAATAGGAAGATGACAACACCAGTTTGTAGCATCATTTTGCAGGAGGTCTTAAATAACCGTAACAGTCACATCATTTATTGAGTGGTAATGCATGTCTTTTTTAGATTTTCACTTGAGTCGCTGTGTTGCATGAACTATCAATTATCTTAATAATTTCAGTGACTCGTTAACACTTACTTTCCTTTTTAGCGCATTGCGACGAAATTCCAAACGGATCTCATTAACTTTCAAATCTCCTCTAGTCAAGAATCCACGCCTTGACAACGGTTGATAATTTGTTAATCACCTTTTTTTTTTCGTTTAACTAAGTATTATACATATGACTTTGTCATTCGCGTACCTGTATCTATCTAAATATAAACTTCCGGATGTTCTAGAGCAATATAAATAACTGCTTTCTCTATGAGATTTACAATTCGGCAGTTTTAGTGCATTCCACTTTATTTTAAGTGTGTTCCCGCTTTATATTTATTGAACTTTTTCAGTTAGCTGTAGTAGTATTTTCAATTCCCCAGTCAAGAAAATTTCAACAGTGTCTGAGCAGCTAACTCCTACAAAACCGAAAAGCAAGTACTAAAAAAAATTGAATGATGAATGATTGAATAATAAAATCTTAGAAACGTTGTCCCATATTATATATATTTTTTTTGAAATTAAAACATTGTAATAAAAGAGCAATATCAGTGGAAGTTAGATGAATGCAAGTTCATAGATAATAATTTGGAAATGAATATTTTAGATTCTGTTTGTGGTAAAGTTGGAAACGTCACTCCGATCAAGTTGTTGACACCGTATTGTAAGAATTGGCGGTTGTGTATCAAAGTTATTTCTGTTGATGAGGTAAATATTTCCTTGCTAAATCAATGCTGTTCTGCTTATTTTGTTTTTCAAGAGAAAATTTAAAATTTCAGATGGTATTTACTTTTAGATAACATGTATTCGAGGTCAGCGTATATTCGCGTTTCAAGCAGTGGATGATGGTGGTGTTGAAATTCGTGTCTGTGCTTTTGGTGACATTGCACATAGAACTGCTGCTCTGATTTGTCCGGAACAAGTGGGTTGATAACAATTTTTAAGTTTTAAATATTCGAATTCTTTTGAAATGTCAGTTTATAAAAAACTTTTTAGATGTATTATATTACGCATGCATCGGTGAAGATGGCAAACAAAAGATATAGCCGTAATCAGCACGATATGGAAGTTGTACTTCGACCAGATAGTGAGGTCGTATAGTTTTAGTGTTTAAGTTTCATAACAAGGAATATTGTTATCTAATGCAAATTTCTGTTTCCTCTGTCTTTTAGGCCTGAGCCTAAGCATATATGTTTTAGGATATTTTTTAGGTTACAAAATGCACAGATCGGCCTCAAATATTATCGCCTAAAGTAAATTTCGAGTTTGTGCGTATTCACAATTTACAAAGTTTTATCGACACAGAAATAGGTTTGTATTAATTAAACTGGTGTGTTAACTTCATGTGATGAGGAACAAATTCTACTTCATTTTACTCTCTCACGTCTCACTCTAATGATGAGACCTGCTAGGAAAGCAATATTTATGAAAGTAATTAACCGATTTTCCAAAATATACAAAGTTTTGGTGTGTGCGAAGGTTTTCTCATGAACAAAGAAAGACTAAATAACGTAATTGAAGATGTACTGGGAACTGTGATCCACATTGGTGAAATGAAGCAGCTGAAATCAAAAACTGGAGAAGATCTGCAAAAACGTGAAATACAAATCGTTGATGATAGTGGTTACTATGTTACTGTAAATCTGTGGGGACAGAAAGCAAAAATTTTCCCGAGTGAACAATATCAGCATGTACTGGCTGTCAAGGGGTTGCTTGTGCGTTGTTTTCAAGGTTATTTTTTAACTTTAAAGAAGTAATCAGACGTAGACGCCCAATTCCTTGCAATTTTGTTGAGGTTTCAGGAACGATATCTTTAGTTTCAATGACTTCTACTAAATTGTTACACGATCCGCATTTTCCGGAAGCCGATGCGCTTCAGTCTTGGTACAGTAAGAACAAAGACAAAGCTTTCAAATCTGCATCAGTAAATCAGGTTTCATCATGTAAGTTCTTGTTTGCAATAGGAATTTTAAATAATGGATCATTAAAAAAACATTCTTGAACAATTTTCATACTCTCAGATTTTGTGTACATATTATTAATACTGAAACGTTTGACCTCAACGAAATGTAAAATTGTGTCAGCGATTATTATCTTAGCTATTTGATTTTTTTAGTTAAGGAACACCGATGGATCAAGCAACTAAAACTCTCAGTAGATGGTCATTTTTTCAACTTAACTGCTATGATTTCTTCTATTTTTATAGAAAATGCAGTCTACAAGGTGCTTTTTTTTTCAAGAAAACTGCTTATTTCATTTGAAAAGATTTCAACTTCTAAAACTGTTTTATGTGTCGAGAAATATAATTTAGTGCTACAAAACTTTTTAGGGTTGCTTGACTTGTAAGAAAAAGTTATTGGTCGAAAAGGATGGCGATCTGTACATATGTTCAAAATGTGGTATTTGCAACGAGTACAAATATTATTACACTCTACACGTAAGTATTGAACTAATGAAAGGTTTTGGAATTTCGCTCGGAAACAATGGACACCTCGAAATTTCTAGAAGATATTCATTGGTTACAAGTTTCTGTTATTACCGTCTTTATCGTGATTGCCAGTTACATCACTACTTTATTATTACTTGGTCTGATCATCGCATGGTTCGGATGCAAACAATTAGATCGAAAAAAAAATGGCTCGTCCTTATTTGCTATATTAAGTTGTTTTTAAAGCTTTGAGGAATTCGGTGGAAAAGAATTTTCTAGTTCGATCGCCCTTAAACTTTGTTTATCAAAATCTTTCATTTAAATGATAGCGACTGTGGGAATTCCGCTAAGTGCATTTTTCAGATGGAATTATTCGATTTTACGGGAACTGTTCATGTAACTGCATTTGATGATTGTGCACAGAAACTGATAGGAGAACAGGCGGATGAAGTTGCTAAATTGTTGATATTTGACAGAGACCGATACCAATCATCTTTCAAAAGTGTGCTTTTCAAACCGTATATGTTTCGACTTGGTGCACAAAGGAGAGGAAATACTGACTGCTCGACCGCTTCAGCTAAAACAAAGCAAGTTTATTTTTGGTCGGTGAAGGATGTGATTACGATGCCTTTCGATAGCTATTGTACATTTTTAGAACGTACCATTGAACATATCAGCAGTGGAATATTTATAGAAAAGTGATTGGGGAGGGGGGTTTGTTACCGCATGTGCAAAATGTTATTTTATTTTTCGATTACAAATATGAGAAGTTAGTGATATTACTTTATTGTCGTTTTAGAGAAAAAAAGAAATATGTTCAAATATATACTGATATCTGATGAAAAGTAATTCATTTTTATAGCGGTCTGAAAATTTCAGTTTAAAACTTGTCTTTCATTCCTATCGGTCATGAGTACTTGTTAAGTTCTGAAAAAAATAGATTGAATTTTGTTCAAAAATAGTATATAGCTGATTCTCTTTGTATATTGAAAGAAAAGTTTTGGTTATTTTTCCCTTATTTTTATTTTCAGCGCAGCATAGCGATCTAAGATTGTACAGTTATTTGTGAAAAGAAGGGTAAAAGCAAAATGCTCTTCCAATATATATATATATATATATAGAGAGAGAGAGAGAGAGCAAAAATGCTTTTTTTTAAAAAACATGTATACATAATGTTTGTTTTTGATCCAGTGTTTCTCATGAATTTGTTATTGTTGAGAGTATGTTTTTTTCACTGTGTTTAATGATAAATTGTCAGCAAAAATCCGACCTCGTGTTTGGCACTATCATATATAATGATATGAAGGAATATTCCAAAGGTTTTGTTTATACGACTTTGTCTTAGTTTTCCATAAAATGTCATCTGCACAAAGAACTTTCCACAGAATGACATTTTAACAAGGATGTGAAATGAGTTAATTGTAATAGCCAGTTCCATATCTTTGCTTTTTAATTCAATGCTAATGATAATATGTCAGAGTTTCTTATTCATAACTGATAAGGGAGGGTGATGTGGTTCATTTAGTTTGAGTTAACCTGAAATTCCCATTCACTTGCAATAGAGCAAAAACGATTTTTGGTTACACTGGACAATTCTTTTTCGCTATGTATGCACTGACCAACTGCTGCGTTGTAGATTTTACGACCCTAAAAGGATATAACATTGTTTAAGGAACTCTCAATTTGAGTTTTTCTACTTATCTATTTGAACTGAAGTTTATTCCTATAAAATAATAAAGTACTAATTGTAGAAAATGTAGAATAAGTTGTTTCTACATATAATAAAAAATATACAATAAAACAACTCTACTATAAAATAGTAAATTTGTTTCTTACCGTTAGCGACCATTCTTGATGAGCACCTTGTAAGTGACATTTTAGAATACGTGGTCCCTATAAAGTTTATAATTAAAGTAGCTCCATATTTTTGTCTGTTTTGTGTTACTAATGCAATTGCATTAATACCAGGAATGAATTACTCCCCCAAAAAGGCCTCGTTTCTCAAAAGATTGTGCATCACTCAAGTTCTATTGCCCTAGATCATATGTTCTATGTCAATAAAGAATATAGAATAAAGAGTTAGCATCTAAGGAAAGCACATTCAATAATAGAGGAAAAGTAAGCGAGATATCACTTTTAATGAGTCGAGACAAAGCGTTGCCGAACCCATGGGACGAAGTTCGCCAAGTTTTGTCCAGCGCCAAATTTGATGACGATCTCTTTCGCGACAATACTCCACAATGACACTACTTCCCCTAACCAAACGTCCATTCAATGATTGAGCTGTGAGACATAAGCTTGTGTTGTATAAGATTATCTACAGAATGGATATCGATTTAGAAGTTTTAGAAATCTTAGTTTATTTTTATATGGAAGAAAGCGAATTGATAACAATCTTGCAGTCTTCAATCTTACTGCTTGAATACTGCTTGAATTGCTAGATTGCAGAAATCCTGACATTCTCTAATATTCATTACAGCTTTTTTTTCTCCACTTCTCATTAGTGACTATTTTCATTACAACTATTCTGGGCATCAGTTCTGTTATTTTTCTCTTGATTTAACATTCTCAAAGATGCTTCTATAATTTTGGAAAAAATCTTGATCTTTATAAATGTTTAAATCTTACATGATATCTTGCGATATTTCTACTTCGTAGCATATCAGATTTCTTTAGATCGGTCATCGTTGGGTGGTTGTTCGGCAGTAATTCTGGATAAATATTTTGAAGATACCATAAAAACGGTTTACAGTGCAGTTTCCTGCGTAATTCTTTCATTTCCCTTATATCGCCTATATTGATCCCTCGCAGATTTGGCTTGGCTGCATAAAATTGGTCCTGTAGAATCGTCTTTTGCATGGATACAGTAAATATTGTTTTTATTCATTCAGAAGCAATGTGGAACAAGCGCCAAGTTTGGTTAAGAAGGTAGCTTATTGGAAAATATAAGTTTAATAGTGATACAGATGAAGTACACCTTTATTTTTACCCATCTATAAAAATTGTCCAGATCAAGAGCCTGTAATCAACAGCCCATATACTATAATCTTGTAGCGATTAAAAAGAGAAGCAGCAAATAGTAAAAAAAAATTGAAAAGCGTTTTATCCTTTATTCCCCAAAGAGATAAACATTATAACTGATTAGTATATGTAATGTACTTACAAAACATACAAATGAAAGACATTAAGCCCTAAGATGAGCGCTAAATCTTGAATTACTATAAAGGGAACATACAATATAAAGAAAATACATACAATATATTCATCGAGCCAGATATTGGCAGTACGAGCTGCATTCCTGCCCATTGAATCAATTCCGAGTCCATATGGACGCCGTTGACGAAATATGTGGCCAACTCTGCTACATGGAACAATTTCCAAGCGGCCGCCACACATCCAAATCTGTAAAGATCTATGAAATACGATCTAATTAAATCTACTGCCACCGGACAGTGTGTTTAATCATTAAAAACACCCACTTCTAGAAAATCTCAATGATCATCCCATCAAACATGCAGTTAAAGTCATGAGGTCCCTGAAATTCAACTTAATGAATATTCTAATGGATACTGGCATAATTCTTACTCTTAAAGAAATTTCTACATTTTCTGCTCCCCAAATTTCCATTCCTGGATCATATTGCCCAAGCATATTAAAATATTTCTTGTCAATGGCAAATAAACCACCAGCCATTGTTGGTGATTTCACCGGACGCACATACTGTTTAGGTTCATCAAAGTATAGTGGTGGAAAATAATCCCACTTAAATGCCAATGACCATGACATGCCCCCTTTGCATACTGGCGATTCGATATACTTCAAAGTGTCCGCATCAATGATGTCGATAACCGGACAGACAACTCTATAATATTCAAAAAGAAATTATTTTTAATTTCTGGGACACTGAACTTTTTTCCATACTTTTACTTTACAAAACGATCCAATATTTTGAACTTTTTTCCATAATTTTACTTTACAAAGTGATCCAATATATAGAAACAACTAAACAGATAGAACGTAGCTGTCCGTTTGCTGAGAAAATCGAGGTGATTTCATAATATGTCAAAACAATTTAAGTCTATTAAATAGAAATTTATAGGATAAAGGTTATCTTATTGATCGAATATTTCATTTAAACTTTGTCGTGATTCATCACCAAATACTTCCAAATTGCAATTAATCTTGTGTGCATTGATGAAATGCTGTAAAGATATTATTATATCTGATAATCTATCCGCTTATCTAAAAGTTCCCTGTTTGGAAACTAACGCTCACTACATAAGAAGTAAACCTGACTGTCCGAGGTCAGTTTTTTTATTAGCCTTCAATTCGACTCATCTCAGTAATTCGACTCATCTCAGTACTCCTAATTTTGACCTAAGGCTAGTTCCACGTAGTTTTTCTATTATAAACTGTCTGTGGTATAATTTGGTATTATTTAATAATCCTTACAAGGTCGAGCAATAAAGTTTTTATTTTTATTTAACTATTCATTTGCATTATCCAACCAACTAGAAGGACTTCGTCATTAGCCAAACAATTTCCCGAAACGCTTGCATTCGAGCTAACAAAATTGAGTCACTACACAAAATGATTTGGTGAATATTAATTGGAAAGTTGAAAGGAAATGAAATGAAAGAAAATATAGATAGTTTCAGTAGTTTAAGCAGAGAAAAGTAAGAGATCAAATAATATATCTAGGTAGTTAATTTACCCTTAGCAAGAATCATTTCGATTACCCGTATGTTTCGAGTGAATCCTAAAACTAACGTGTGCCTATCAGCAACGATTCGATCCAGCAGTGGTTCGAGCCATCGTTCATTCACTTCGCAATGACTATCCAGAAACACCAGTACCTCACCTGTAGCATGTTGAGCTCCAAATATTTTTGCTCGGATCAATCCCTCATTCTTTTCAGTATTCAACATTTTCACTATGTCACTGTTCCAGTTCTCATGAGCATATGCGCGTACCGCAACATCAGATGCATTGTCTGAAAATAGTTTCTATAAGGGCAAATAAATTTACGCAATAGATCTAAAGTGACTATTCAGGACATATTTAAATAAGATCCTACAAATCTCTACACTTATTACTCTCCAAACATTCATTTACGGCTTATTTATTTCATGTACTACTAATTCATATAAACTACATATGCAATATTATCCCCAGAAATTAAAAAAACTTGAACAAACCAAGATCGCTGTAGTCATTCACTAGTAATATTTCATTAATCAAATTTGATGGCGTTCTATCCAGAATACTATTAACCATGCGAATCAAAGCAGATGAAGCTTCATTATAATAACAGATGATAATACTTGCTGCTGGTAATTCTTCCGAATAGCTTTCATTTAGGCATCTGAAAAATTAAGCAGCACCAGGTACCCAAAAATTCAAATCAATTCTTTAAATAAATAAATTTCAAAATGAACACATGTCGTCGTTAATAAAACAAGCTATCGTTTCGATAAATTAAATTGGAAATAGCAATGCACCCGCAATGTAAAATAGGGTGTATAAAATAGCAATGTAAATTTTTACAATAAAACGTCATCAATCCGTTAATAATTTGTGTCATATATTATAGTTATAATAACTCGAACGTTGTAAAATGGATTCTAGTCAATTCGAACACCGCAAAATTCCAAAAACGAAAACATGGTCGGAGTTGTTACCAAATATTATAAATACATCAATACTCACAAGTAATGTCGTGTGTCCGGAATTTTTCGCCGTGGTCCGATTCTGTTGCTCAAAAATTCATTAAACGCATATTTGGCGTAACTTATTTCGCGCTGTTTCTAAAAGTTTTGCGAAATTTGTTCAAAAAAGTTCCACTGAGCCAGTCCGTGAACAAGCAATATGCAAGTAATGTTTGATATATATCAGCACTAACCAGATACTTAAAGGATAATGAAAAAAGTAAGACATCTCAATAAACGAGATGTCTAACTATTACTAACTGGCACATGATGTAGAACTAAGATGAAAAGCTAAGATCTCTAAGATGACAAATGATATCAGAAAGTGGCACGGAAATGTAATGAAATTACCTCTTCCTGCTGATTTTGCACAATGGATAGTTTTTCAAGATCAACTTCCGGTGCTTTATTCAGTGAAAATTGCTCTTCCTGAATTTCTTTTGATATATCATCGTTGTGGTCATTATGAGTTGCGGATAGCATAATCAGCTGAGAATGACCATCAAAGGCTGGATGAACTGATGCATGATATCGTTGACGTAAAGCAATGATTCGTGCTTTTGGCTCATCCAATAATCCAAGATAAGCAATCATAATGAATATCCATAGCAGAGATACAGCAACTACTGCCATTATGTAGTTTGTATTCGCCCGCATGATAGACACTTTCTCAGTCTAATCAGCAGTTAACAATTGAAGACTTCACTAGTAGCATTGATCAAAGAGTTGTTGTATCACTTTATCCAAATCATTTTGCTATCGTTATGCCATTCATGAGACTCATTTAACGAAGTTTGATGAAATCACTGAAAAAGAATAGACAGCCCATATCACAGAGCGAAACATATCACAGGTGCTATCACTTCTGGACAATATTACCAGATGTTAATCGCATCTCCAGGATTACTGGCTACAGCCGAGCTTATCTTCTATTAGGATGCAACTGACGTCAAATACAAACGATTAAACCATCTACCATTTAGATAATGGTCTCGGATTATCTTTTGTTGGCTGGTAATATAGAATGGTTCAATTTAAACTTCTGTTGAGTATGTTGACCATATCTTAACACTTTCCAATCAACCACTGCCGTTCCAGCAATGTAATCAGTGCTCTAAGTCAAATTTTGAAAAACCGTAACTTTATATAGCAGAAATTATTATCTCTTGTCAAGCACTACATTTCCGGTTATTCTATTACTGCTCTGTATTCTTTTTTTCTTAGTTTAGACATTCGTAAAATAGAAAAAGTAAAGGGCAAACGAAGCACAGATTGTTCCATATTCTTGAGGAATAATTTTGAGCAAGGGAAAGATCAAGAGAAGTAAATTAGAGAGGAATAGTTGAGCGTTCAACACAACAAGGTGAATTGTTTCGACCATTCGTAACAATGAAAGCTGAAGATAGCACAATTTACTTAAATCTTCTTCTTCTAACTCGAATGATAAATTTTCTTATCGCTCCCTACGATAGCGGTAAATGTTTTCTTTTTGAAAGAGAACAAGAGGACAGAGAAGATCGTCATCAACAAATATGAACATTTTTTACAACAGATCCGGTTTGACGAATATGTGTGAGAGGCATTAGAGCAGAAATTCTCTTTCATATACCCCAGCGGAGATCCTATCTTCCAAATAATTCCAAATAACCTTTTCACGTTGTGAAAAGAATGATTTTAAAAAGTAATAATCTGTGTGTTGGAGATTCCTTCATTCTTCCTACTAAGATTTTGTTCAAACATAGGCGAAAATTAATAGTTGGGAAGATTAATCACACGGCTGATTATGATCAGGACATTGGTCAAAAGCTAAATACGACAGAGTGATACATACTTCTATGGCGTAAATCAGTAGCCAATATTAAGAGATGTAGAGAAAGTTGAGATCACTAGGAAAGTAGAAATATAGAGATGAAGAAAAATATTTGATGATAATTTCCTGATAGGCCACTTATCATTTCCAGTGGGGACGAATGCAACAATCCTGTCCTTACTTCACCATTGATATTTGATAACAGATTCAAAGACTCAAAAACCCTCAAATGCATTTATGAGATAGTCTCAGTTTCATCTAGATTAAGGCCTTCTTATCTTATAAAAATACTGCATAACTTGTTCGACCCAACAAACACAAAACCAGCAGTTCATTATCTAACACAAATGACTAAATATATGCTTACTACTTAACAGAAACGAGAACTTCTTTTGAAAATTTCCCTTCTGCAATACAAAGATGCAATTCCTAACTAAATAGAATATGATGACCTTGAAATTGAATGGTTAGATTAGGAAATGAAAGGTTTACTGTTTAAGGAATCCAAAAAGAAAGGAAAGAAAATTGGTAATTCAGTTGATATTACATGTCATGTTTTTATACTTTCACCAATAAAATGATAACTAAACTAAGTCAAATAGGCTGTGTTAATCAGTTCATTCACGAATTAAACAGAAAATGTGTGAGAAGCATTTTAATATCTTTCTTCTCCACGACACACATAAACTTAATGATCCAAATTAATGGTTCAAAAACTACATTTTTTCCTGTGAAATATGCTAATGATACTTGGAAAATTTTAGTGTGTATTACAAGTTAATTTCATGTCGCATATGTTAAAGGAGAATAAAGCAATGCGTTAACGTATGCATGGAATGTATATGGAAGTGAAGAAGACGAAAAAATTTAAAATCAAATGAATATGCAATAGTCAGCAGTGATAATTATCCTTCATAGCACTAATGTCATCATTGAAAGAAACTGAGAACATACCGAATATCTGTGACAAATGTTGACATACAAGAAGCTATTTGAAATCGTATTAAAAAGTAGTCCATAGAGAGAAGCATCAATAGGGCCATCACAAATATTGAACCAATCTTTATTTGAAGGAGTGTATAAAGCAAATTATGCACAATTTAAGTGCCCTCTTCAGAAAGAGAGAGAGAGAGAGAGAGAGAGAGAAGAAAGGCTGCAGCAATCTTCAACATGATGAGTGTGGGATTAAGTGTGAACTTTTTTAATTGGAATTAAGAGAATTATTAAAACTAAAATAACAAATTCATTTATCATTGGGTAAAGAAAGATGAATTATCAAAAAAAAAAAGAACATAATAACTTTTTATTGTAAATAAAAAGTGTAGTTTTAGTTTTAATGATTTTCTTAATATCTCCAATTCAAAAATTTGTAAATAAGAAAACAAAATAAACCAAAAGATTGGAATACACTCTCTATTTACAGACAATGGTTGATATTAAGAAAAAAGTATATAAAATCTTTAAAATTTCTGTTACGATAGCTAAACATAAGCTCTAAAAATTAATTAAAAGACAAAACGCCTCTAATATTTAGTTTCGAAACCTCAATTATTCATCTTAAGTTAAAGGTTTCAGGGACTTAGAAAAAATCTCCGAAATTTCAAAACAAGCTAAAAGTTAATTATTGACCATCTATAATTATCTATATTAGAACTATAATTTTAAAATTTCGAAAAAAATCTCCATTGACAAACTTTAAAATTGGCTAGAATGATAGTTAAATGGCACAAATAGCAGAAGAAATATCTTAGATACAGTTTTACTCTTTGCAGAAAAATTCGCTTCTCCTTGAGACAATCTGTTTCACAAGTCTGAAATGAGGAGATCCGTAGTACTTAGTTGCAGTTTAAAAAGGCTTTCCATTTTGTGATTGTTGGGGACGGGAGGGTTCACGAGAGTGACCGCATAGGGAAAGGGGGAAGAGCAACTCGTGATCAGTTGAGTTTCTTCTTGAATAACCATCATCCAGTCTTGTCTGCTTGAAGAAGACCAAATTCGGTAAGTTAAACATGACTTGATCAGACAAGGATAGGTAAGTAATGGATGAAAGAAATTTTTTTTTTTCTTGTACTTAGTTTATTAAATTTCAGCTTTCTTCCTGGCAACATTTCTTCTCCTCACTTCAATTAACTGAATTTTCTTTTGTTGAACAATTCAAGAAAAGGATAAATTTGAGGACATAGTAATATGTGGATGTTTTTATTTGTTTTAGGAAACTAATGATTGCTTGTGCACCGTTACAGGATGTTCTTATATTGTTCTGAAGAGCTTACATGGCGGCTGAAAATGGTCAACTTGAGGAAGTGAGGTAACTGTGCTGATGGTACTTTAACGTAGAATGTTGCTTTTATCATTTATGATAGTTCCACTAACATTTGTCCAGAAAATCATTTTAGGTACATTCATTGTTTATTATGTAATGACAATAAGCCATTCAAAGGTTTTTTGTCACACATTCGAGAAAAGCATGTCAATTATTATCGCTATAAATGTACGAAGTGCGCTTTCAAATCTGATAATGAAGAAGACAGTGCCTTACACTCTTTTGAAAAAAATCATCATGTGAAGGTTAAGTTTCTTCATTAATTTCCAAATGGATGATGCCGTATCAATGACCTTATCATAAATCGATTTTAACAAAAAATTATGAACTCTTTTAATATCTACCCGTGTTCTGATTTCATTTTTTACCTTATGTTATTTTATTTTCCGTAAAGGACTCAATTAAAACTACGAATTTTTAGTTCGATAACGCCAACTACCACGAACATTTGGCAGTTAAGATCTTCCAGGACTGTTGCCGTGAACAATTTGTTATTCGACATGAGATGGAAAAGCATAAAAATTTTATCTCAGAGTGAATTTTAAAACTTTACTGTTGTTTGTATCTACTTCTTTATTGACACCTCCATTGCCATCTCAAGCTTCTGAGTTAAATTCATGACGTATTGCAAATAATTCTGATGGGCTTAAATTATTGAAACATTTAGACCGACAAAGAGAAGGAGGAATTGGAATTCGTGTTCAGATATTCAAAAGATTCAAAGCCCAAAAAAATCCAAGTTGAAAACGAATGATACATATACGTCTAGTTTATTGAAGCATGAAGTAGATTTGCAAGCGATATCGGGAAATCAAAGGAATTCTGGAAGCACTACGAATTCAAGAAAATGTTTAAGTAAGTTGATTTCAGAATCTTAGTTATTCTAGAGAGATATATGAAGTTAAAAAAAAAAAGTTGCAACTAGGGAAATTCTTTTTAGAAAGAAAACATTAGTCTTGATAAATTTAGATGATGTGGAAAAACCTGAATCTGGAATTCATACCACCAAAATTCTTTCTAAAGCTGCCGCTGATGATAGTGAATCCTATAAATTGCCAGAATCTGATAACCAAACACTTTGTGCTTTGGGGCTATTCTCTGACGCTTTGGAAAATACTGAAACTACCAGTTCTGATAAGCTTCTAAACTCCAATGCTGTTAACAATGTTATTTCGATTGATGGAGAAGTCAGTAAATCTAACAGGAATACTTTTGACCCTAAAAGACGAACAGTAGTAGAGGTACTTTTTAGAGGTATTTTTCTTCCTGTTTTTCTAAGCTACTGCTTTGTAACATCTTTATTTATTCATCTCTTTTATCTGCAACTTGATGGGATTCAAAGCATATGAAATTTAACTGCAGTAGTATATACAGTGGAGTTATAATCTTTAAAAAGAAATAAAAATTGCAGCATTTTGTAGTAACTTTTATTCGGTTCTATTTTTTTAATTATAATTGTTGAAATTTTATTTTTAGAATAGTTCTGTTCCACTGGTTACAACATTGAAACTAAATACTACATGTCGTAAATGCGGAAAGGTTAATATATTTCGCTAATCCATCTTTTATTGATTTCAGCTAAAATTTTCGTGTAAACAGAGTCGTTTTAGGTAAACGGCGAAGCATTAAGCGGAAGTCATTGAATTTATTGAGCAAGGAAAATAATATCTTGTAAATTTTGTTTGGAATATGGTATGAAAAACTCCTTAAAAAAGACGTGAATCGAAATACTGGGAGTAAGAAACATGATTATAATATTAAAAGTATTGATCGTCTTTCGAGTAATAGCTTCAGTCAAACAATTATGAAAGTACCGTTGAAATTTCAGGATGTAGGTGTCGATTACATTGCTAAGAAAACGCATGCTTTGCAATTTCACTTTACTCAAGATGACGATCCAGAAATCGCCGAATTGTTACCAGCTACTGTAAAAGCCTGCTTTCCATACTCTTTATCTTGGAGTGATTATCAGGTAAACCATTCCAAGATCAATAGATACTATTTTCAATAGTTTATTGATATTATTAAAATGACTTGAAGCATAATGGTTGTATGCTAGAGATTTAATATGTTGGCACGGTTGGTTATTAAGTTCCGATGTTCTGAACTTACTACTTGGCGCAAAAAGCGTCGAAATTGTCATATAGCATGCGGAGCGTGATGGACATGAGCAGAAAAATTGTTTAGTATGACCGCATCAGATTAATGTAGTGTATTGTAGGAAAAATCTAAACAGATATATAAGCAGATCTAATTTGTAGTGCACGGAATGTGGAAAGGCGTTAGGGACACATGGTAGTCGAAGAAATCATGTTTTAAAAGAACATTTTTATTGGTCTGCTATCTGTCCACTCTCTGGTTGTACGACCGTTATCAATGCTGTTGGTAATTTGGAAGAACATTTTAAGGTGCCTTTTTTCTTTACTAATTGATAGAGTTATTTTATTTTTGTTTTTTGTTTTTTTATGCTTCTTATTTACAGAATAAGAAAAAGGTTTTGATTATATAACTAGGAAAAAATAATGTATAGATGTGGAAAATAAATTTATCGCATCTTTTTTTCTTTGTCCCTAAATTAACTGAACAGTTTTGTATTTATAGTTTTCTTTAGTTAGAGCATAATATTTCAATGTCGAAAATGCCAAAAGGATTAAGACAAAAGCTCATAAAGATGGAAAATGACCGAAAAAATGATTTACATCGACAGGTTTGTTTTTTCTTGAAACCTCTTTGATTGTTTCCTTATTATAAAAGACAATATTTTTTAGTGAGGTTCGTTTTCAGACATAATAATTTTACTATTTTTACTGTTAAATACTTCTGGCAATGGATTAGAGAGGTGAAGATTATTTATGTTTTGTAATAAATCTTTGAAATTTATTTCAGTTGAGTCACTGTTTTCCCTGCTCATTGCCTCCAAAGAGACAAATTACATCCAAAGAATCAGCATGTGATAGCAAGCATTTACCAAAACCAAGCATTACATCCGTCCTTTCTTCTCTTCTACATTCTGAGCCCATTAATTATGCGAAGAAAAAAAATTTCACTTACTCGTCGTCAGATACCGAATCAAGTTCTGGAGACGATGAAGATGATTCAGAAATAAAAGACGAAGAGCATTATATAGTGAATGAAAAAGGTGAAATAAGCATTTCACATAATTTGATTTACGAACTTTGCTTTATGGCATTTTTGTTTCAGTTGGAATACAGCATTTATAAGCAGTATTTACAGGATTTATAGTGTCAAGGACAAAACATTAGATTGATGAATGAGAATTTTACAGCATACAGAGTTAATTTTTCCTAAATTTTCTACTGCTGTCTTCAGCAAAACTTGTGAACTTACATAGAATGTTTTACACAATTTACACTTACACAGAATTTCTTCCACAGAATGTTCAAAAAATGTGAGCGATTTGGGTTCGAATATTACTTGCGATAATTTTTGTGATCACGAGAAGCGTGGTGATGTAGGAGACAAAGAACAGCCCTGCTCGACAGCATGTCATTCGCGGTGTTTCGAAAGCAGTGAATAGTTTGACTAACATAGTTTAAAAGATGCGAGGTAGAAACTTATTGATTGCTAAAAACTGTTCATTATTACAATCCAGAGCGTTTTTTCAAACATTTACTTTTAGTTTTGTTTTAATTTTGAATTATTTCTGCAGTGTATGAGATATTCACGTTTGCCAGTGTTAGATTTTTGAGAATTAGTTCACTTCCAAGCTAACGCTGTCATGTTTCTTGTAAATATGATTACCTTTCTGCATCTTTTTTCCTTCACATGCAATATTCTTTTCACAACTAAAAAGTAGAAAACGAAAATATTCTTTTACATATAAGGAAAAAAAAAGCTTAATTTCTCTAACTGTTGTCTATACTATCTTCTCAAAAGAGAAGTTAAATTACAGTGCCGTGTTTAACATAAAAGCATGCAATTTCAGTTTGCGAGTTTAGCACCTATAGTTTTTTTTTTTTTTTTTTTAATGACTGCCATTTTTGATACTGATTTATTTTTTAAACTTTTTTTTAGGCGTGAAAAGTCGGAATTTCATACGTGGAATGTCTTTCGAGAATGTTTTCGAGCAATCGTCGACTTTTACCCCAAATTAATTTCTATGAATGTGTTCTTTATGAATGGCAAGGCGGGTAGAAATATGCTAATTTTTTAATCCTATATACAATTTGTCTTTTTGAAAAGATTGACAAATGTTCCTTACCCGAAAAATTAGGGGGTATTTTTATATAATTTGAATTGTTTTACCTACTTCTAATTTTATATCTTAAATATTGTTTTGATCATCTAACAATCAAACGGTTGGATTGTTCGTTGGAAAGTCAGTATCGTTACTCCGACTGTATTGATCTGAATAAGCAATTTTTATGTATTTATATTTTGTTAAATTGATTAGTCTTCCATAATTACCTCTTTAATGCACAGTAGAGAACTTTTTTATATTATGCAAATTTTTACTTTTTTGTTGTTCACCAAAGGCTAAGATTAGCGAATGATTTAATGGCTGTGAGTAAGCAAGGTATAATAAGTGTGTAAGCTACCGACACTTTGTAGTGTCCACTAAATCAAGTACATCAGGTAAGCAATGGTTCAAATGGTAATGCTTTTTAATTGCTTTTATCATTTTGCATCCATTGATTATCCGTTTGCTTCCAGTCATTTAGATCATGGGGATGGATTTCATTATTCATTAACTTCCTCATTAGTTGAAAGGATTCTTCTGTTGTACTTGATAAAATGTGGTGTCTTTACCGTGAAAGACTGTAACTCTTGGAGAAATTATAGCAATTGTTAGAGTTAGCAACATGGAGCTTTAAGAAGCTAATCTCATGTCTTGAAACATCGTTCATAATTTCCAAAAATGCATTAAACATGCATTCGGAGTCTATTGATTTTTTGAGATCTCAGAATTGTATTGGTTCAAACAATCTTTAAGATCGTATTGGCACTCTTTTGGATGGCAATAGCTGTATTTTACAATGCAGTATTTTAAGGATTATTCTGATAAGAAAACATTGAGCTTAATCTTGAAGGGATTTTAAGGCTCGCGGTCACTATTTCGTTGGTTTATTTTTTTCATATAAATCGTATTTCTAGAATTTTATTCACCTTTGATGCAAACGAAATTATTTTTTTGAAAGAGCTCTACACAGCATTAAAACTTAAAATATGTTTCGTCGCAGACCAGCTTTTGTTATGCAAACATGATATTACTAATATTACAAAAAAATATATTACTAATATATTGGTTTTATTAGACAAACTCCAAGTGTGGAGTGTCTTATCTGGACACTTCCATTATTTTATGGGAGGGGGAGGGTAGGCTAGGCCCTGGCTTGAGGTAATTCCTGCACTTATCATGTCCTAGTGGAAGGTTGTTTGAAATCATTAATGAAACAAATGTCAATGAAGTGCGAGTATAATCATTTCTGCAAGGGATTTTAATCCTATATTAAGTTTTACTAAACAGATTAATATGCGATTCAATTATTTTCCTTTTTCTTGAAATTATAGAGGGAGACTGATAGATACTTTAGTAAATGCTTAAATGGTGGAAATGAAAGGAAAGCCATTTATCTTCAACATTATTGGATGAAGTGATTGAATTGCTGTTGATAAGTGATATTTATATTGTCAAACAATATAGGGTGAGATATATTATTTCATATTTTCTGTTAACATTTTTTTTTAAAAAAAAAAATTCTTGTAATTGAAATCTCTTTTCTCTTTTTTGAGTCTTATATTTTCCGTGAAGAGAGTTGTAAGGTGGAGTGAAATGGCATAATAGAATGCAGAATAAACAATGATAAGTATGAAGATTAGTACAGTGAGGACCGTTGAAACGTTATTATTTTTACAACATAACAAAAGAAGAATGATGATGTTTTAGATTACTACTTTACCTAGCATGGTAGAAGCATTTCAAGTCTTTTCGAATTCAAAATTATTTCTTTCCAACTGCAGGTTGAAATGTGACGTCTCTGTTTAGTTTGACTATTTGTAGCAACGCTGCTGCTATACTGCGAGGTTTATTTTTTTATTTACTATTCTGAGCCATTATTTTGACTTTTTGAGCATTTTGAGTCAGCTGTGGTGCAAAATTTGAAGTTACTAATTGCATGTTTGGGCTTTTCATGAGTTCAGGAATAGGTTTAAATGTCAGATCGTATTTGCAACGAGAGTACGACCACCATGACAAAAGTCTGAATTAATGCGACAGGGAGTGTTTGATTGAATCTTAAGGGTTGCATTCTTGGCAAGAGGAAGAACTGACGTTTTCATTGTGATCCCATACCTTTGCTCGCTTATGTAAAATGATGAAGTAGTGGTAAGGATATTGGAGGATGAGCTCTTTTCACTGGACATATTAACATTCTCTGTTTTGCCGGTCGTTCCAGAGTTGTTGCTAAAATCGTTATTTAAAAGAATTCACCCATGTGATATGCATGACGCATTTCTTGCAGTAATCAGTATAACGCGTCATCTCAAATATAATTACTAATCCACAGATCAGGCTGGTCCTTTATTCTTTCACATTTTTGTTCTTCATGAATCTTTATTGTTACCACTTTCTTTATTGCCACATTTCTATAAGGACTAAAAGAACCAGTCCGGCCGTAAACATTACTCTCAGTATAGCTTTTCTCCATTCTAATCAAGATTCTTTTATTAAAACTCATGAAGACTTAAATTATACTCAATTGTAATCTTTTACTTCTCGTCTCATAATCACCAGCTGTCTCTCTGCTTCTTGTATCAGTTCGGCTCATCCATGCTAGAAGTCTTTACTTGTCACATGTACAAGCGCGTTATGCTTCCTGAAATAACTCTAACCATTTCCAGACTTATTTTCATAGAATAAGGTGAAGTGGTAACGCAGCGATGATTATAGAAGCACCGGAGGCGCTGCGTACGTGGCTTACCAGAGAAATGGCACCAATGTAAGACTTTTTTCTAATGTTGTTTTTATACTTGATCAAGTTCGTTGGAAGTATTTTAATCATTCTCAGCATTCTAACCATTTGTCATTTTCAGATGTGATGCTGAACCAGCAGCTCTTGCTAAGTATGTACTGGCCCTATTACGTAAGGACAAACCAGAATCAGAGTTGATGGAATTCTGTATTGAACAACTTGACGTTTTCTTGCAAACAAGTGCGATCTTAATATTCTAGTCTTTAAGTATCACTTTCATTATCATTTCCATACCCCCTCATTACTCCTTCCCATAGTGAGAAAATAAAACAGTTCTCGTAGGTTATGGAACTATGAAATGGAAGTGAGACTCATTGCCCACTTCGTTTTTATTTAACATCATATAATTGTATACTTCACATCATATAATTGTAATTTTAAAAAAAAAATTTAGCTTTTTATCAAATAAGTATAACAATATTTTTCTTCAGAAGCAAGATCTTTTGTGGAGAAATTGTTTCGTATCATCAGGGAACGTAATTACATAACAGCTGCCACAGCAACGCTAGTTACCGCTCCTACGCTACAGTCAAAGAATTCTTTTCCAATATGTGAAAAAAAGAAGGATAGTGATGAACGGAAAGAAGTGAAGGAGAAAAGAGAAAGTGTCAAGAGAAAGACTATCACTCAAGGTGACAAAGAAAGGGAGCAACAAAAGGTTAAGATGTTTAACCACTATCCATAATTTCTTTGCTTTCTCAGAAATGAAACATAAACGGAATGTTTTACATGAATTTCCAGACTCGAGATGAGAAGGAAAGTGAGAAGATATCCCTATCTGAAATAGCTCCGGGACCACCTCAAAAAACAGCACGAAGAAGAATCTCTCCTCCAATAGATGTTCCTCAACGTGAAGAATCCCGTCGCGATCATTCAGCAAATCGGTAAATTATAGTGCAAATCACATGATAAGAACGATCCTGAGTCTATTTTTGTGAATGGATTAATTGTAAATACTTAGGCCGTTATGTTTTGTGTTTTCAAGGTTTGAAAGACGACGTAGCCGGTCACCACGTGAAAGGCGGCTGGAACGTGGAGATCGAAACTTAGATCGACGTATGGCACCTCTGCCTGCACGAATGCAGCATTGGCAATCAGACCGATACAAAACTGACCGACTAGAACGCAAACGATCTCGTTCACCGCGTTCTCCTTATGAAAGGCAAAGGTATGTTTTCTTATAGGAAGCACTTTTGCTAAGTGGCTTAGTCATATATAAATTGTCTTAAAATTCATGAGTTTTTTTTTGTATTATGAGGTAGCTGAGATGCTGACGAACTTATACACAGTCACTTGCATCCACCGCTCCTTCTGTTGGTTTTTAATAATGTGCTACAGACGCGAAAAAAGTGGTGAGCCAGAAATACGAAAAAAAAAACGTTGTCGTGATTACGATGAAAAAGGATACTGCATGAAGGGAGACCAATGCATTTATGACCATGGACCAGATCCAGTCGTTGTAGATGATATTGCTCTCGAAAAAATGGTAACTAATGGAGCAAAACCTGCTGTGACTCAAATTGCCACCAATTTCTCGGTACCACCACCTGGTTACACACCGCTGAACCCTCCACCTCCTGGTGTTGACAATGTATATGCTACAAATTCAGCCACTGTTGTATCAGCCGCTCTTTCAGAAGGTTTGTTTCTTCAGTTTGCATTTCCTATGCTGCTTTGAATCTTTTAAATTGAAGATAGGATTTACAAATTCGTATGTTGCAGGATATAATCCTGAGGCTCCAGCACTGAGCGCTTCTTCGTTACCAATTGTAGCAGCAGCACATTCGCTAGATTTTTCGGTACCACCACCACCGATTCCTTCAGTAGTAGTAAATCAGCCTTGGAGACCAACAACTTATACAGTACCTGCCATATCATCATCTGTTTTGATTCATCCTGCGGCCAATACCTATGACCCAACGCATTCCTCCACTACTGTTCCGCCGCATAATATCACCCAGGTTTTTCATCCTTATAACTTGTAATAAATATTTTGTTTTGTTGGAATACAGCATCTCAACTGTGTTGCCAGTAATTTAATAAGGCTTGCTGCTTCATATATCACTAAAGAATCAATTTTGTTTTATACTTTGTAGAAACTGGGAGTAGATATTTGTCTTTAGAACTGAAGTGCAGTGCTGTCAATTGAATGTTATTTTAGTACAGTTATTTGAAAATTTTTTAAGCTAACAGCTGGTCAAAAACGACGAGGAAGAGGAGGTAGTGCTAATAACCCAGGACGGTACAGTCAAATTGTGGGTGCTGTGAACAGGACGCTTCAAGTGCGTAAGATACCTGCAGAACTGAACAATATTGCAAAACTGAATGAACACTTTGGACAATTCGGGCAGATCGTTAATATGCAGGTAAAAAATGTTTTAGAATCCCAAGTTTAGAACTAGTTCTGGATTTAATAAGGTATTTTTGAGTAGCAAGTAATCTAGTAAGGACAGCGTTGGAAACATTGAAGTCCTGAAAATCGCTTCTGTTTTCATTTCCGTATTGCTGATTCTGAAGTGCAGTAGTATGACAAGTGAGTATGACGTTTTTTTTTTTTCTTTTTTTTTTCAAATGACCTATTTCTATTTCTATTCAAGATCTCTGAAAATGCAGTTTTTTTTGTTTAGGTTTGTTTCGAGGGTGATCCAGAAGCAGCACTTATTACTTATGCAAATCGATATGAAGCAGTTGCAGCATATAAAAGTACAGTGCCAATACTCAACAACCGTTTCATTAAAGTATTTTGGCACAGTACGAATGGACAAGCAAATAATACTGTAAATGCAAATCAGGTTATATTCTTACATATATGCAATAAATTGGGAATGACTACTACGCTGAGCAAAAATTCATGTTTTATATTGGAATTGAATTGAAGAAATGAAAAAAAAAAAACTTTGTAGACAGCGCCAACGAACAGTTCATCGGTAACATTTAATGCCAGAGGCTCACTTACAAAGACAGTCCATGTTGGTTCACGATTGCTTGGTTCTGCTGTTAAGAATCCACAAACAATACATTCAGCGAATTCGCAGAGTACTGAATCTCAGATTTCCCGTTCTGCAATAAACCAGTCTCTAATAGACAGAGACAAATATATCGAAGTATCTTTTTAAAATTCTCTTGAAATATGTGACATAACTTACTTTTCATTGGTTAGAAACATTACAAGTTTTCTCTTACATCAACTGAAACTCTGTAGTAATATCAACTAAAAAAGCGATGCGTAATGTCCAGAAATCTCTTATGCAAAGGCTTGATGACTATCTCAAACCAGATTTGAACTATTTTCGGTATAGCCAACTCACTAGTTTCTTTCAGTGCTTTTAGGACTGTGAGTGTTATTAGTGCTGTGCAAGTTAGTAATTCTGGTGATGCAATTGTCTTTGTTTTGCAGGTAAGACGACGACGAAAGCAAGAAAAAGAAAACAGAATGAGATTAATTGATCTTCAGCGGAGGAAGTCTGATCTTATGTCCAAAGAAATTGAACAGCAGAAAATCATATTAGAAAAAATGAAGGCTGAAGATATTACTCCTGAAAAGAAAAAGAAGTTATACAAGGTTTGTCATAGCAATTACTATGTAGCGGAATTAGTTTTTTGGATTTTTCTTGTAGGTCTGACTGTAATTTAGAGTAAAAGCTTGTATATGAAGAAGTAACCTTAATATATATTATTACTTATGCAACTTTGTTTAGTTATTATGTTACATTATATATTCATGGCGAATTTCCAGACAACACAACTTTTCTCATTTCATTTCGAAGTAAGAAACTGGAATAGTTAATAATTGAAACTTATACAACTCTCTTTACTCGAAAGATTGGTAATACGCACAAAAATAACATATACTTCGATTATAAACTCTTTAGTTTTCAGAAGTTGTCCATTTTTTAGATTTTTAAAAGATTGGAGTTGTCTGTGGCTAAAACAAAGGGCGAAATCGCTGAGCTTAATGAGATGTTGATAAAAACGAAATCTGGTTCTGAAGCAACGAAAGCGACAGATAATGCAAACGGTTGCAGTGGTGGTGTAGAGTCGGGTATTGGCTTGGATCTTGCTGGCTCCGATGGTTTGTTCTTCACAATATAGAAATAATTGCGTATATCGTTTCAAATGAAACAATTTTTTTAATTAGGATGGTGTGTTTAATGTAACTGCAGTTACTATATTCAGCAGGTGAATTATCAGTCAGCGACATGGTTACTTCTCCTAAAAAAATTCGTCTACAAGATTCTTCGCAGGTTTGCAGTTTGAGACACAATCTTTTAAGTGTTTTAATATCAGTAATTTTTGCAACCTCTAGTGAGAAATAATTTTGTCTAAATGTATTTAGATGTACTTTACATTTTGTATGTCGTAATTCAAGATATCTCTGGCTGTTTTAAAAAAAGTCATTTTTCATGATTTCTGTTTCTCTGTCCAATGAAGAAGTAGAGCGATTTAAAGAATCTGTTTTACAAAAATTCAATTGAGATAAATTAGTAGTAGCTAATGTAAGCAAGAAATTTTTTCTTGCTCTATCATTTACTTTTAAATGTATTTTTCTTGCTTCTTATGTTTTTTGCAGACTCTTGATAACCGCTCAAAAATGGTTGTGGTACGTGGTTTTGAAGCTGGAACAGAAAATGAACTTATTATTCATATGGAACATTTTGGAGAATTGGTTGACATGGATTTTGGAGTTCCTGCGCAAGATAAATTGCTTACTGCTTATTTCACCTACAAAAAAAGGCGTGATGCGGAACAGGTTTTTAATGAAATTTTGTCTTTTTCCCTGGAAGCACGTACTATATGTTCATTCTTGAAATGAATAATACTCATTATTTTTGTTTTAAGGCAGTATCACTAGGAGCAGACTATCCTGTTGGACACTTAATAGTTGATTGGGTCCCAAAGCGTGGAGCTGAGGCGAGCGGTGTTATCCCTGATGAGAAACGACAACCGTCTGAGCGTGTAACTCCTGCTGCTTTGTTGGCGAGTTGTCCGCTTGATGAAGTTTGTCATGTTTAACCTTTTTTTTTTGCTATTGTTATGCATACCATGACTCACTATTGTTTAATCTGACCTATCTATTTCTGAACACAGAATACGCTCAAACCAGAGGTGTTTGCATATTGCTGTAGTGACTTTTGTCTTTCAAGATAGGGCTCATTGAGCTTAATCCTAAATAGCCTTTGGGGCTGTGATATTTTAACCTGTTAAAGTCTTCTTGCCCTTACCTTGCTTTCGCGACTATCTTATTTTTCATGTTAAGATGCAGTTATATTGTACAGTTTATTTAATTTTAATAATAAGGTTTTTTAGTCCGACGATGACGGCAATGAAGATTAAGCTGAAAATATTTGTCGGTGAAAATTAGCTGGAAAGTGTGTTTCACTTTCAAGCAGGATTTTTCGGATCAGTGGAAAATGCTTGAGCAGGTTACATTTGGTGTAAAATGAATTCCAGATCAAATTTTCATGCTATGTTTCTACGCTAAAAAATGTTTTTCTCTCAGCATTTGGTGATTCGCCTATATTAATAATCATATTATTTATAAGCCTGCAATGGTAGCATTTTCTTCACAACTGTATTACCTGGTTCTCAAAACAGTTCCTCCTAAAGTCTGTGTTATTTGTGGTTATTTTTTCTTCGTATTTCTGTTGTGATTATTTGATAATATTTCTTTTTGGTGAAAAGAAAAAGAATTCTAATATCGGCTCAGAAAAGAAAATAAATTCTATTGAAAATTAAAAAATTGAACACAATACAAAAAAAAAGAAAAAAAAAATGAAAATGAAAATGATATCGGGCCGTGAAAAAGAAAGAAAGAAGAAAAAACTGTGATGCTAGGTGGAACCGAATTATGTTGGTTTCTTTTTATTAAAGAATTTCTGGAAGTTGTGTCTGTCAAAGTTTTGTTATTGTTTTTGTCTAATCGACACATGCAATGCGGTATGGTCTGTTGGTTACTCAATTTCTGTTGGTTGCGGTTACTCAAACGTCAATTTTTTTTTGATTAAACACGTAATGCGGGTATGTTCTTTTTTGTCCACTCATTTTTGTTTCGACTTCGACACCAGTTCACTAATTTTATTCCATTTCTCCTCATTTACATATCCCTTCTATTTGTTATCTGTTAGTATGCAGCGGCTTTCCACATTATTTACTAGGAGGTTAACATATCAGTTGTTCAGAACACTAAGTGTACAGTACAATAAATGGAGCAGAACGGTGCAAGATCATGTCAAGGAGATTTTTTACAAAAATATGAAGGTATTAACGCAAGACCAATTTAAGGGTTATGAGTGTATTAATCCAAAAATATTTCGATATTGAATAACGATGTCAGTGCTTATCAGAACTTTGATATGGTATTTTGAGCTTATAAGTTTGCACCGCCATACCAATGCGATGCATGTTTTCCCAATGTATTAGTTCATCGATCTTCTAATAGTTCAGTTAGTTGTCAGACAAGTTAAATCTTGACATTCTTTGGGCTTGAACTGGTGTTGGGGGGAATTAAAAAGATTTCCTTGTTTTCGGAGTATTTGCAATTGTGCAATTATTTATCGCAAAAATGTTGTTTATCTCTTCAGTATCACTTCAATAGATGAATTTTCATTGCAATGTCCGGTGTCATTGAAATATAGGCAGGTATCTTGCATTTAAATACTTTTCTTCACGATTTATTAAACAGATAGAATGCTGATGCTTGATTTATTCCCATCAGTTTTTTAATCAACGAAAGAAGATGTCTTCGTTGATGTTATGCCTATGTATATAAGATATGAGTTTGGTGTATTTCGTTAACTGTCGTATGCTTTGATTCTAATATTTCTGTTAGAAAATAAAAATCAAATAACTTATAGAAACAAACAATGCGAAAATATTTTTTTTTACCCGTAGAAACTTATTTCGAACGGTCAAGAATATTAGCAAGAGATATACTGAATAAATGAGGAGCATTTTGACGACTGATTTCGCGTTACTTGTATTGCTGAAGGGATAAATGGTGCTAAGATAGAATTATTGCATCTGATTTTCGGAACTTATAGTCAATATCGCGAAACCAATCTGCATGTCTCAGAATAGGCGGGAAGCAAAAAAATGGAAATAAAAACGGATGCTAAATGAGTTTTGTAAAAGATTGCGCACTGTCTTTTCAGCTTGTAATTGATAATTAAGGCCAGTTATGAGGTCTTCTGCATCTGGACTCTTCTAAAAAAAAACCGTGAAGAATATACTAATTTAAAGTCTTTCCGAAACCAGAAATATGGAATTTACAGACCATATACTGGCTAGATTACATGAGTGATTTAATATCTTGACAAATCAAGAGCTAGAAATTTCACACCTTTAAAACAATGGAAAGCAATGTAATGAATTGCAAAAGCAGAGAATTATAAACAGTAAAGCAAAAAAAGTGGAATAACTGATAAGATAATAAGTATAAATGAAGATGGCACTTAGGTGACTGTTTCTCGGACTCCATCCATATCAGGCATGGAATCAAAGCTAAAATCACGGTCGATATGTTGCCAGCACACCTGTTTGGGTTTTGATGCAATGGTTTCTTCTCTGCTCCACGGACTATTTTCGTTGCCATCAAGGACGACAGGAATAAAACTATACCCTAAACAACAAAGACAATTATTTCACACGAGCTGGAGTTATTAGTTAATCGGGCATTAAGAATTGTAAATGACCAGAAAAGAAAGCAGAAAACTTGAGTTATCTTCCTAAAAACCCCGATGTCTTGAAAAGCAGCTCATTTTACCATTCGAATTTACATATGAATGCGTATAACTAGAAAGATTATGTTCTGAAGAACTGCTATCAACAATCGCATTTCTTGTTAAGTTGGGTTTCGATCTATCACGCCAACTCATTGTGTGTCTTCCCAATGAATCAAAATTGATCTGGAACATTTGCAAAAATTGATGGTTTTGTATTCATAAAAAGAATGATGAGGTCGTTCTCAATAAAGAAGGAAAGTGAGGAGAAAAGCTGGCAAATTATATTTGTCGATTAATACCATGAATCATCAACTTACAGCCACAGCAGGTTGTGGTGATATAAAAACACTGATTTCCGACCCACGATATGATATGCTACGCTGGATACTGCCAGTACTTACATTTGATACGTTATCAGCAACATCCATAGTTGATTTCTGTGAATACCTGAATTTTGAGCTTAACATTTTCAGCAATATGAAAGGATAAAGAAGAAAGTATATCTGTAGCTCCCAATAGTATAAAATGAATATACTACTATCTCACTGCATTTCTCTAACAACTATAATTGCAAACCTGCTGTTCATACTGGCACTATCAATTTGTGCTTTCGATAGCCATATCCATTCCTGTGAATTTTCATCCTTTCCACATGAGCTTGATGAACTTAATCGAGTAAGGATTGGCAGTACTAATTTTTCATAACCTTCATTGAATGGTTGTTTGGCCTTTGAACCTATCGCATGCACAACACCTATTATTACTGCCAAAAAAATGATTAACCCCAGCAACACCTCCGAATTCCAACTGCCAGAATTTGTGATTGACTTCATTCTCGTGCTACTGTTATCTATAACGCTTTCTGAATAATATGTTTGCATCAGGCTGCTGTCGTTACAATTAATTATATCCAATAATCATATTTATATTCAATAATACATTACACTAAGACCTCAACAGCTGACTAGTGCGCCAAACTACACAACATGCAGCCAGACGAGTAGGCTAAAGTCTTGTCAACACAAGGTAGGCTAATTATTTGTTGCTACTACTTATTATTATTTACTATTATCACCAATTAATTAATTAATAACCAATTAATTTCACTACTTCTAGAGGTCCTCCATTCCTCTATATAATCCTAGAGGTCTTTAAATCAAAAACTTGAAAAACAACAAAAATCGAATTTCATTAGATTCTGTGTTCACTTGTTGTAATTTCGTTTCTTAATCTTTCTATCTTTTAAAATCAACGAAGAAAAACTATAAATAGCATTTTTATATAAACAATATGAAACAGAATTTCTATCAAAAATAAAAAATAATAAATTTCTATCAATCAAAAATCCTTCATTACGTTTTTGTTAAATTATCAGAACCCACAAAAGAATTCAAGGCATTTTTAAAATGAATGGTTTAAAAAAATTTTGTTAAAGCTGTTTTGATAAAGTATTCTATTATGTAAAAGGTTCGCTTTATAAGAGCTCTGTAAGAAAAACTTTTTTTTTTTTGCTAAACTTTTCAATAAAATAAGAAAAATGAGCATAATTAAGACATTTAGTGAAATTACGGAAGTTTATTTATAGATTAAACTAACAATTAGTAATAGACGATGTGCTTATAAGCTTCCTTTCATTGAATTCGATTTGTACGGGATATTCGACCTGAACGATAGCTTTTGAGTCTGGTTCACTGCATTGGGCTGGACCATGCATGCTAACTGAGATTAGCACATTCTTGACATTCTGTAGAACGATTAGTTCGATGTTATGGCTATTTAGCCCATGATTCAATACAACGGCTTGTTCATCCGAACTCCATCCTTTCAATACGTAATGTTCTGATGGAATATCGGTTAATTCAAGCATCTGTTCGTCCGAGAAATATAATCGACACACCAGAGTGGCATGCTACAAAGATTTAGTTCCAAATGTCACTCTTACTAAACTTTTTTTTTGTTTATTTCATATTAGAACTGAACAACTTTTTATGCTACAGCAGCGATTCTCCTTTCACGTTTAAAGTTTCGTCGTTCTTGTTAATGATCATAATCTGTGACACAGTTCTGCTTCTCATCACTTAGTATCTGCATGATTCACAGCAGCATTTCATTCTGTGACGACAAAATGAGAATGTCTTTTAACTTCTATATTTTCTATTCAATTAGTATGGTAGAAATGAAAGTTTAGGGAAATTTTTACCTGATACTTATAGGTCAAAGTATTTTGAACAAATGTTGAAACGACATATTCGTGAGCTCTTCTAGGAAATCGCTCAATATCCAAAGCAATATCAGCAACTCCTTCTACTGCAAGTCGTCGTACGGAGACAGCGTCTTCCGTGACCTGCACATTTAACAGTTAGGCTTTTAAAATTGGAGGACAAAGATAAAGCATTAACAACTAAAAAAAAAAAAAAATAATAGTAAGACATTATACCACGATTGGAGTACTGCCATAATCTATACTGGGAGTATTTGAGCGAACCGTTATTCTATAAAATTGCTTTCTTTTTCAAAAAGAAAAACAAAATTGGCGATAGTTAGTACAACAAAGCAATATTATATTAAAGATATCACCAGAGGTGAATTCACTCCTGCATAACTTGTCTTCGATATTGACAGACCTGGCCGAACCGGGACGATGAGCTACAACAAAAATACGATCTTGTCGAGGTAATACAATAGCGACACCAATATTTGAACTATGCACATGATTCATCGTAAGTGATGTCACATCGAATAAAATATCCTGATCACCAGATAGATAGATTCGTTCTCCAGTTTCTTTATCACCCACATAATAACTTGCAAGGATGCGAATCTGAAACATCACCTTTATGCACCCTAATCTCGGAATGCAAAATGCTCCGATTAAATTTCACTTATTACAAACAACAGTAGGAGAAATATTCAACAATATTATTAGCACGTTAACTCTTGATAGCAAACTTAGATTAATTTAATTTATTGAACTGGATCTGATTTCGTGCTACATAAGTAGTTTACATTTGAATGTATGACTAGATAATAAGGCTAGTAAGATATAATTATACCTCAGCTTGCTGGTACTTATTGATACAACCAAACTGTCGGGCTTCCCTTTTACGTTTGCTAGGAAGCCACTTCCATACTGCTATTTGCCAATCTGAAATGATAAGCTTAGAAATTTTGTAAAAGAGGTAGAAAAAAAAAAAACTAAGCTCAATGTAACTGACTAGTCAGCGGAATCGACAGTTTCACTATGCTAGATATTACCGTAAACTTGCCGTTTCATCACAATCATTTGATCTAAACAGAATATAAATAAAAAAACCTTTGATGGCATTCAGTACAGGATCTGATATCCACACAGTTATTGGAAGTCGTGGATACCAAACTGTAACTTCGATTGAAGTTGCTAGTGTTTGAAAATGGACGTACACTTTAACTTTACTCATACCGCGTAATTCTGATCTATAATTAAAATAAGAAATGTTTACAGTTCATTCTATTTTTTGGAATCAGAAAGTCGTTAGCGATCAGAATCTGTGTTTTGATAACGTTCTATTAACATTTTGTTATAGTTTAAAAATTTGAATGAAAAGTAATACAAATTAAAGTTCAGCTCTAACCCTTAAACTTGCTCTAGTCCTTAAACTTGTCAACATAGGAGATTTCAAAGGACAATAAGTATGGGTTTTATACATACCAACTAAAAATTTTCAATATATCGTAAGAAATACTACTTTCACAGCATTATCAAGATTTATGAAATAAACAAACCCATCAACGTAGATGAAACTACATGTTGGTGAAGCCTTTAAAACTCGTGATTCAGCACTCAAACAATATGAACTGCTAGTTACGTCATTTAGACTTCCACCTTCCGTAACGGAAAATATTCTCATTGGCAGTGCAGATTGCTTTCCCGACAGCACCGCTGTATTGATCAAATTTTCTCCCTGAATATCTCTTTAAAAAACAAACTTGAAACAGATATTAAATGTTTCATCTTTATAATTACTTCAGTGGAAAGTGGACCAGAAAGTGTATTCTCAACAATCACTTACTTTGATCATTGGCAATAAAGCATATACGAAATCCGAAAATATGCGGAATTGTGTTGCTACTCTCTTTGTTGTCGTTTTACCCTGAAGAGTAAAATTATTGCTTATAAAATTGGAATTTTTGGAGAATTTATCGCAATCTGTTGAGTGTGAACATAGAAGGACTAAAACGTCCATTCATGCATTGAGCATTGATTAGCTAATATTAATGACTAACTAAATAATAAGTTGTGGTTATCTTCAAAAAGACTGCAAATAGTTCTGCTAGTAGCCATACAGAATATGATATAGTTGTGATTTTACGTGGATCAGTGATGAAATCAGGTATTATTTTTGCTTTGTTACGGAGTTTCTCCGAAAGAAATTGATAAGGTGCTGTACCGTGTAAGTGGAATTTTCAGAAACAAAATATTGCACTTCCCAGTGAACTCTGATCAAATTACTGTCGATAGCTTTCGACTGTGTTTCAGATTTTGTTCCTGTTGAGCCTTTTACTTTGATTAACATCATCATTATATACCCACTGTATCTATAAAGACTGAATCATTAGCAATGAATGAATATTTTATCGGGAAGGACAATAAAATGAAGCATAATTTTAAATTTTAAAATTATGCTTTATCCAATTGGAAGGTAAAAGATGACCATACTTCCTTCTTCAGATGATTCTTCCTGTACTGAGCATTTTATTACAAAATTTATTTACATACAGTGTAAGAAGATATTTGAATATCGAATAGAGACTAGCACCTCAAACAATATCACTCGTCATCAATATCGACATTATCACGGAAGATAAGTTTTTTCTTAGGTCGGTTGAAATAAAAATTACTTGACATATATTGGAGAGTTAAGAAAAACATCAAGAAAGTGCTAACCGAAATGGGCTCACCTCTCTAAATTACCATCTAAGGATAAGGAGGAATGATATTGACAAGTGAAGGTCATATAAGCATCAGGATGAGCAGAATTTTCCACTTGTATTGTCCATAGCCTTGGATCTGCTGAAGTAACGCTTAGCAGCTTCAAATAATTGTTTAGCCAAATCCTGCAATGTTTTATATAGTAGGTAATTAACATTAATTATGAAACAATGATTTAATTTTTTAGATGTGAAAAACATGCAATAACTATGGCATTAACATGAAAGATTTTTGTATATGCAATATGAATGGTATGTTACAAATATTTTCAATTGAAAGAAAGTACCTAATTTGTATGGAAGAAAAGCGAGTTTCATTGTTACCGTAGTAATCGAAATGCAACAATAAAGTTGTAAGTGAACTTGTTGCAAAGGTGAAATTCGTTGGTGACAGAAGCTGCAAATGCCTAAAAATGTTTTGAATTTAAAATAATCCATTGGAAAATTCAAATTCCAATGATTGTTGATTCTGCATCCGAATAGTTTTGCTTTTAAATTCAAGTACAATACAAAAGCTGTTAAAAACATACAATGTAGGGAATTGTTTATCAAGATCAAATGATCTATAATTCGGAGAAGGCGATAGCAGTGTTATTTTTGTGCGGTACAGTTCAGCGTGCAGAGCACCACATTCTTTATTAGTGGAATACAGAAGTGTGACGATCTGTTAATAACAATTAACAATGTATTGTAACTTAGGAAATTTAATCAAATTCCGGAATAGTTTTATGAGAAGTAAGGCATTGCAACTGTAATTTTTCCAGTGAAGTATTTTTTGTATCGTCGCACTCACAATGCTATCTATCTGTTTAACCAATGAACTTATCAAATCATTGTAAGGTCAAGCTTATTCAGCTGTAATGTT